AGTTAGATGCTGAATTGGCTGCAAGATGGTCCCGCTGGTGGAAGGAGCGTTGTCGATTAGGAGGGAGCGTTGTCGATTAGGAGAAGAGCTTTAATTGGCAAGTTTTTCTCTTTTAAAAACAATTCCACCTTAAAAGGCCAAATTTTAGAAAAATGTATACAAAATTCAGAAGCAACCTTCACCTGTGGAACGAAAGATTCATGAAACCGTTCTTTGAAAATAGTCGACGTCATCCAGGCTGATTTTGAGCTTTGGTAGTCGGTGGGACACTGAAAGTTTTTAAAGCAGCGTGGATTCTTCGCCTTTCCGATTACCAAAATTTTAAGTTTATGAGATCCAGTGGCGTTTGAGCAACACAAGAACGTGATTCGCTGCTTCTCTGACTTTACGCCTGGAGCTCTCTTTTCCAAACTGGACACGTACGTTTTTTCTGGAAGAAGTTTCCAGAATAAGCCGGACTCATCAGCATTATATAGCTGATCATTGGACAACTCCAATTCGCCATTTAAGTTTTAAGTTTTTCGTTAGACGGGTCCACTAGCTGAGGCTGCGAAGACAGTTTTTCGCCTGATATTTGAAGAAGTCGAATGCCGTATCTTTTTTTGAATCTTTGAAGCCATCCATCATAAGCGTAGAAATCACATTCGCTTTCCTTAAATTTTGAATGCAGTTTTTTGGCTTTTTCTTTCAGAATTAAAGCACTCACTGGCCAGTTCTTATTTCGCATACGAATAAACCAACGATAAAGAGCTTTCTCCATTTTGGGCAGCTCTGAAGTACGCAGTGTTTTTCTTTTTCCAGGCCCAGAAAATGTGTCGTTTACACATATTAAAATCACTTGTCTTTTCGTTTTAATGCCACAAATTGTTGACTTAGCAACATTATATTTCTTCGCTAAGAACGTCACACTCGACCCTTTTTGTAAACAGCCGCGAATTTTAGCATTTTCTTTTAATGTCAAGCACACAGGCTTCTTAGAACTCATTATAAAGCAGCAAATCTAAGGTGGAGCACTCCATTCAAAGCCAAAATTGCGACTGAAATGTTTTGTGCATTACATGCAATAACAAACAAAACGCATAAGTTACTATTAGGGGATTCCCCAAGTTCAGAATTATTTGAGCTCAATGGGAACTTCATTCAAACATTGAAACGTTTATTGTTCATGTTATAGAGCTTTCTCGCCTTGTTCATGTTTTAGAATAGTCAATGCACAAAAAAGCTTGTTCACGTTTTGGGGTGTTAACGTTTAGGAGTGTTCACGTTTTCGAGCGTGCGCTGTACATACACATGTACAAATGTCCTTGAACGACAACCCACAAATACATTTTTTTACCAAGGATTATATTTCGTTCAGGTATACAGCATAACTGCTACAAGTAGCAAACCATTATGGGGGCGTTAAAAAGTGCTTAGTTGTTTTTTGTTTCTGCGGCACAATCGATTATACCATCCTCTTTACTTATTTTCCTCTGTAAAGACAAAATACATGTATATCGTCGTTTAAAGTACAAAACCGCGTATCGTCATTCTACAAAACACCGTAACTGACATTGGCTGCCAAAAATTGGATTTGCTCACACATCCTTATCCATTCGTTCTGAAATATACTAGCCAGAAATGCGATTGCTTTATAAAAAAGATAACCATTTTGAAATATGAGTCTTTTTAGGCTCTAGAAAATAATTTCTACAACTTCAAATACGCGGTTTTGCATTTTGCTGATACGCGGTTTTGCATTTTGTTGATACCCGGTTTTGCACTTTAAACGACGATATGTACATACATACGTACATATATAAATATGCATGTTATATATGTACATTTTTATGTATACAACTTTGAAAAAAATTGTATTAAATAATCTATGCTTTGTATACAACTATGTGATACTTCTATATTGCTAGTACAATACCATGGTGGAATAATAACAAGGTGTTGTCAGTAGCGACGTGTTTGTTGTGATTTTGACAACATCGACATGCTTATTTTCAGTGCTGCCGATCTTAATTTTTATACTACTATTCGTTGGGAAATAGTATCTAAAATACCCATTTTAGTAATTCGTTTTATCGCGATTTTGAAAGAACTTGGTGTTTTCAGAACAATATTAATATTTAAAATTGCTGGATTTGTATAATTTTTGTCCTCAAAAAGTAAGAAAATAAAAGATATTGTGGTTATCAATGGAAAAAAAACGTACACAAAAATCGTATGGAAAGGCGATTTTTTATATTAAATAACTTTTGCTGCATTGCCATAATATTGAGCCAAATGAACTACTGATACACTAGAATAGAGTGGCTGCATGGTTAAATTAGGAATTCGCTTATTGTTGGGAACCCTGTCACTAAACCGGTTCACAATAGCCAACCTTGAC